TGTTTTTTTTTTTTAATTGTCATATCCATATTCCATTTTAATTATACTATTAGATTTGTTTAAAATAATATATGTAAATGGATATGTAGGTACAAACGCATGTATAATTTCACATAATCGCTCAAATTTTCCAAAAGTTACTGAAAGCTTTATTGTAAATATTTTCACTAAAATATTAGTTATTGGAATTAAAATTTTATGCGAATCCAATTTTTATTCCCATTTTTAAAAAGCGCAAGTATGTATATGTTCGTGCCACAAAAATTATTTCATAAGTAGTTAATTTTAAACACAAATATGTATGTACACTGGCAAAGTGAGTGCATCCTGTTTTTTTTGTTTAATATTTGCAATGTTTTTAAGTTAAACTTTTATGTTATTTTCGACGGGAATTGCGGTTTTATGCATATAGCAAGTGCAATTTGTAAAAAATAGCGCTAATTTTTTTTATTTGTTTGCAAACGGTCACGCGCATTTTATTCTACAAGAAATTCACTTTTATTTGGTAAAAAGTGCAAAAAGCCGTCAGCAATAAATAATCATTAAAAATCAACCGGATTTTTTAGCCGCTTAAAACTTGATCTTGTTCCACTAGAATTAAAAAACCGATCTATCTGCGTACTCAAAATTTTTCTAAAAACTCGGATTAAACAGGTCAAAATTTAGACGAGAATTCGTTGAATTTTTCTATGTTCTGTGTAAAGTTTGAAAGTTTGACTTGTATAGTTTTGATTAAAAAGATAATAAAAAAAATTAATTGAAAAACATTGCAAATATTAAGCAAAAAACACCATGCACTCACTTTTGATTGCCAGTATATGTATGCATGTACATATGTGTGAAAACTTTATGCCAAACTATCATTATTTTAAATTGTATTTGCATCTTCATAAAAGGAGAACAAGATAAAAAATTTAACAAAAATTACAAATTAATGAAAATTATGTGAAGATTTACCATATTTTCGTTTATTTGCTCGCAAAGAACATCACATTTCATATTGCTCAACATTGTATTATGTTATCAACATTAAATTCAACAGAATTTTGTTAATTTTTCGTCCGCGAATAGTTTCCACTTTCAGTTTGCACCTTCTCTATCTATCTAAGTTCTCTGCCATTATGTCATAACTTAGAAAGACAATTGAAATTCAGTAAAGAATAGCCATGGATCATTGGTGCACAAATTATCCATGGCCATTCTCAAAAAATGGGAGGTGTAACATGCATTTGAAATCCGTTTCACTTTCACTATATCCAATTGTCCAATATATACATATATACAAATATGCAGACCACACACGCAGCAAATTATTAATAACCCATATTCATTTGAACTCAGCTTGAGTTCATGCATTGCTGCACTCATGTTACATATTGGTTTATATTAGTCAATCAGTCACGCTCACTCACACTGTGTCTATTTGTCGCGTCGACCGACAAATAGATTGCAACACACAAAAGTACATATCGTTGGCTTAGTTCGCAAACGTGCTAAGTCCACTTTTTATGTAAATTGTGATTTTGATGCAGTAAGATAGCATAACTGAAAATACATCATTACCAAAAAAGAAAATTACCGTAATGTCGTTTTTACTTGTTGTTATGCATTGGTACGCAAATGTGCTAAGTCCAAAAAAATCAAAAAAATATATATACACGTCTGTCCGTGTACACGATAACTAGAGATATCTCAACGAAATTTGGTATGTAGGTTGTAAATATTGGATGCAAATTGTTCAAAATTAGTATGTGAAGTAGATTTTTTTGTAAAAAATATTATTGTGCAATTTTTGGAAAATGGGCGTGACCCCGCCCACCTATTATGAAATGCTGCATCTCAGTAGCCCATTCACCAATCTCGGTACGAGCCTTATTTAGGGTCTAGCAAAGAAATCTGTTGAAAATCTAATTCACTTAAAATCGATGATCGCGATAACCACTCAGCAGAAAATTAGATTATGATACATTTTTGGATAATGGGCATGGCGCCGCCCACCTATGATCACAAATTTGTAACTCGGTAACCGATTTATCAATTTCTACCAAACTCTGTGCACTTAATAAACCTGGTACGGAAAAGCAATTCGTTGAAAATTATTCAAATCGGACCAAAATTACATTCGCTTCCCGTATATCTAACGATAAATTTCAGATCTCTTAATCTCTTAACAATAATTAAGACTGCATGACACCGCCCAATTTATGACTACAAGGTGTATTTCGGTAGACACTTTAGCGATTTCTACTAAACGTGGTTCAATTATTTCATTGAGTTTAACTCAGGATTTTATCTAAAACGTTTGAAATCGGGAAAAAGACCCTGCTTACGACAGTATTTGATACCTGCGCCGGGTTTCGCCCAAACTTTACCTCTTTACTTGCTTTTAATTATTTTCTTTTATAAATGGTACATAAATTTACGACTTAAAATATTTATTTTTGTTAATAGCAATGAAATAAAACTGTATTACGTTATAATTCATTTTAAAACAATAAAATATATTTAAAGTAAACAATTAAATCTTTTAACAATAAAAAATAATGGAAAAAAGGTTGATAGAAAATGTGCTAAGTCCACATTAAAAGAATAAAATCTTAAAGAGAAAATGTAGTAAGTCCTAAAAGGGCCTATAAGTCTGCAACAGCTTTATTTTGAAATTGGCCGATTATTGGTACTAAAACAAGACGAACTAAGGAATAAAACTGCATTTACAGATTAGAAAAATATTGACAACAAAAAAAGTTAGACGGTTTTTTGTCCCTCATGAAAAATTAAAAAAAATGGACTTAGCACGTTTGCGAACTAAACCAACGATATGTAGGTCACTGAAATATGCTGACTTGCATATATGAAATTATGTACATTTAATTTGTAAGTATTAGTGTAATTAGGTATCAATAACATTTGTATAAAAGAAAATACTTTCCAAATAAAGAATTCAATTCTGTCTGTCCTCAGAAACGAACAAAACGAATTATTAATTATTAATTACTTTACATGAAACTACCTTCTATTTTTTATCATGCATATGTACTATAAGAGTTTTGTATTAATAAACGCTTTTTAAATAAACCAATTCATTTTTAAAAGTAAAAATTTTGGTTTTCTACTTATTTGTTTTTTCCTGTACGGAGGAGTTTATAACGACAAAAATGAGTAGTTTGATTATTAGTGCTGAGGAGTTTATAACGACAAAAATGAGTAATTTGATTATTAGTGCTGAGGAGTTTATAACGACAACAATAAGTAGTTTGTTTATTAGCACTGAGGACTTGCTAATGACAGCAATGAGTACTTTATTCATTTGCACTGATTAGTTTATAAAAACGACAATAAGCAGTTTCGTAGTTTCTAGAGCAGAGCAGATACATTTTTCATTAATCAAAGTTTTCAATTAGTAAGAAGACGTAAAAAATTACACCGACAAGGGGAAAGTGCTTAATGAGCACTTATTTGATGCTCAGCTGTCTTATTGGAAAAAATAATACATATGTACATGTATGTACTTATTTAAGAGACATTCTTCTTAATATCGGACACCAAATTTGGTGGCACACTTTCGATTGGCTTAATTTTTTTTTATGGATTCTATACATGAAATAAGCTAACACGTGTTCGAGGAATTTTTTTTCGCTTTTTTCTTTGGAGATATGATCTGTCAAAGTTTGCATTTTTTCGTGATTCTCACTAATCATGTACTCCTTCAAAACGTTATATCTCGGGTTCTGCCATCTTAGAGACTTTATCTAAAGGTCGTTTTAAAGCTAAAGAATTTCTATATATAAGATGGTTAAGATTGTCCTAAAGCTAGCTTAGCTATTAACAGTTGAACATTTTGAAGTTGATTTGCATAGTGCAGACCGGTAAATTGGGGATTTATAATTATACCATCGTAATCTCTGTTTAATTCCCTATAAAAAAACGTGGTTAAAGAAAATAGGGGGTTTTTCAAGAACAATTTTAAAAATATTTTTTCTTTATGACGAGATGGTTAATTTTGTGAGAACCAACAATTTTTCGTAATTTGTTTCCCAAAACTTATGTTGAGATATATTTAGTAAGGTTATAAAGGAGTTTTTGCAAGAATTTAAATTTTATTGCAGATTCCGATAGAGCGCCTATCCAGGTATAATATTTGTACGGCAAGATTTTTCTTTAAGGCGACAAACCCCTAAAAATGGGCGTGTCAATTGTAGGACTAAAGTTTGCAAAACGCAGATTTTACTGCGGATTTTGGCGGAATATCCCTTCGTTAACAACATCTGTTCCACAACTTTTTCAATCAATGAATATTCCAGAAATGGGCATGGCTATATTAAAACCAAAGTTCAAAAATCTAGACTTTATTGTGGATTTCGCCAGAATATCTATATGGATTGAAAAAGTTCTGGAACAAATATTGTTAACGAAGCGCAATAAATCTGCGTTTTGCTAACTTTATTCCTGCAATTGCCACGCTCATTTCTGGGGGTTTGTCGCCTTAAAGACTACTCTTGCCGTACAAATATTATATCTGGATAGGTATTCTATTGGAATCCGCAACAAAATTGTACTTTTTGCAAAAAACTCGATGTTTAACAACTTACCAAATACATCTTAACATAAGTTTTTGAAAAAAAATTACAAATAGTGGTTGATTCTCACAAAATAAACCATCTCGTCATGAAGAAAAATATTTTAAAACTAGTTCTTGAAAAACCCCCATTTTTTAACCACGTTTTTTATAGAGAATTAAACAAGGACTACGATGGTATAACTTTAAATCCCTAATTTACTGGTTTCTACGATCGGCAGAACCCGAGATATAACGGTTTGAAGATCATATCTCTGAAGAAAAAAAGAAGAAAAAAATTCCTCGAACACGTGTTAGCTTATTTCATTTATAGAACCCACAAAACAAATTTGAAGCGAATCGGAGACATGACATATATTTTTTACGAAATCCGTCCGACTTGAAAAAGAATGGCTCATAAGTATATATCTTTTATTTATTTTAGAAACAAATAAAACAAGCCAACGAATTCCTAGCTCATGAAATGGGTCAAATGGTAAATAGGACATCAAAGGAAAGAATACCAATAAAACTATCGAAAGACGAAATACAAACCTATGTCAAACGATTTCAACTTATTGATAAGGATAAAAAGGGCTATGTATCAATCAACGATATTCGCCGGGCTCTCAAGGTAAGCTTTGAGAAAATTATTAAATATTTCACCATTTTTATTTCCACTCAAGAGGTATTAAATATAGTGTATGCATGCGTAAATAAAACTGCATATATCTTCTTACCGTACAGAGTTTCGGAGATGCCGATGTTTCTGGAGAACAACTTCACGAGATACTTAAAGAAATCGATACTAATATGAATGGACAAGTCGAACTTGATGAATATTTACAGGTATGTATATTATACTAATATGTAAGAAAATGCAACACCTACCCAGTCCCAGTAAACAATTTATGGATGAATACCAAACTCGAGCAATAAAGGAGTAAGGATTGTTCGTTTATTTGCAGCGATACGCGAACAATGAAGGATTTGTTTAATAATAATAATAATAGATTGGTGCTTACTAGGCCGGGTCAATTTGTGGGGAGGCAAAAAAAATCGCTCATTGCTCTGTGAAAATCATATTCTAGGGATCAAAATAAGAAACTTTGCCGAAGGAACCATACCTC